TTATCACAACTGTGATTGGGAGAGTCAATACAACTTGTAACAATTAAAATACCCATCCCATGATCAATCTTATTAAAATATATCCGCTTCAAACGTGGAATATGTCCACGAATTAAATTTCATTTGAATGAGTTTACAATTTTGTATATTATCATCGAACAAATAGACACAGAGTTGCTTTTGCCACTAATGAACAAGACTTCAGACTGGTCATTAAATATCAAATTTTACTACTGTTTTTATTGAATTTTAACATATTAATGAGAAGCACTTGGAGTTGCAATGAAGCAAACAAAAAAATCAACAAGATACAGTTGTTAAAACTCACAATTTCATTTCTCCCCTTAAATAAAATGTACTTAATAATTACTTGATCCTAAATGTTAAGAAGCGAATTTGTTCATAAATAATATAAATATTAATTATATTAAATTATTATAATTAGTGCACACTGAAAATATTATTGAACATAGCCACTTGGCTAATTCTAATTAACAACAAGCCATAAAAATTAACAAGTTCATCAACAAATGTGTTTTGAAATAATTGATTGCTTTTGTTATATGCTTTACGTTTGTAAATAAAAGAAACCTTGTAGCAATATTAACATCACCATGCCTATATATGGGCAAATCACAGGAACTTATCAAAGAAAATGTGTTGAGAGAGCTTGTCAACTATTTGAACACAATGGCAAATAAAATACAAACAAAAATACAGAAATTTAGTGCAAATATTAGAAAATATTAGTTTGTTCAAATATTGATGAGGTAAATGTGAGCAGGCATAATTACTTTAAATTTACATTTCATAAAATGTCTTTATACGTTGTTAAGCAATGCGGTATTGTGCTATGGCTAAATGCTCTAAGTACTTAACAGAAAGACAATTTTTAAACCAAAATTAAAGAATACCCAGCACAAATATAAAAGAAAGCATTTGATCAAGAAAGAAACATTAAAAAAAATATAACTTTTGATAACGTAATTTTTTTGAGTTATGGTATGTACAGTACAGTTAGTTTTGTGAGGTATCTCGCACAGCAAGATTAAAATAAACAAGTAATTTCTCCATATTTATAAATATAACTTTAAAAAATTTACAATATCTTGTTATTATGTCAGGTTCAAGTATTCCATAAAATTGATCAATAAATCAGATGACAAAAAATAATAAAATGATCAATAATATATTTGACCAAAAAATCAACCAAATGACCAATGAACTAAGTGATCAATCAATCAATGTACATCTATAGTAGTAACCAACAAATCAGTCAGTCAATCGATTGGAAAGTATGTGAATCAACTGATAATTTAATACCTAATAGATCAATCAAATAATAAATATGTTAATTGACAGACCTGGAGATCAACCAACTAATAGATCTATTAACCAATTGACAATCAATTGACTGACAAATCAATCAGTGGACCAATAGATCAATCCACTGACCACATAAATCAACTAATCAACATATAAATCAATTAATAAACAGATCAACGAATAAATCAATCTACTGACCTATAAATTAATAAATTGACAAATCAACTTTCCAAAATATTAATCATTTGACAAATAGTTAATTTCATAAAATAATCAATCAATACAAATCAATCAATCGATAAACTTGTATTAAAGGTACATAAGAAAGAAATTGTTTAATGCCAAATTCTTCAGTGTAAAGAACAATAATAGCTTTCCTTTCCAATATTTTGTCTAAGCATCAGTAAGCTTTACTTTATCTTTTTAAATTATCAAATCATACATTATCTAAACTACAAATGTACAATGAATGTTGTTTACTTCTTGTATTAATTTGTTTTAAAATAAATGTGAATACAACTTGTTAATAACAATATGGAATTTTTCTATTAATCTAACAATAAGCAATGTGTGATTGTTTTCAAATCCCTGAAATCAGCTGTCATATTTTACTACTAATTCAAAAACAAAATCAATATTGCTCCCACACTGTGTTCTAAGTTCATTGAAATTCTATATTTGATTTGATATAATTGTTTCATAGTTCATATCATTACTTTTATTTGTCTTTGTTGTCATTTTATTGCCTATTAAACCCAAATTCATGGTTGAAAAATCCTAACTATTTATTTCTTAATTTCTATTTCTATCAACAGCAAAGGAATTGCTATTATTAATGACAGCTATTGTATAAATTACTAGGGCAGGACCACGGTTTCATAATTTGGAGAAGACAGCCGGGGTGGGGGTAAGGACTGTGGCATCAACATGGGTATGTTCACCACCATCTCACCCCATAGTCTGCTTTGTTTTTAAAATACTGCTTCTTAGAAAGGAATTTAATTTCACATACAAACAACTGTTAATGTTTTATTCAATAGCATTAGATATTACAAAACAGAGGCAAACATACCTCAAAATATGAATTACCAGTATTTAATTGTAAATCTGTTCACAATCAAAACCATCTTCAAAATTAAAGGCTAGCCTAATTTTTTCAATGAATAAATATCATAATTCTTTCAAGATTATTTAACAACTGACTAATCAGAACAGGGCTAGAAATACATGCATGTCTCACATACAGAGTTTTTGTTTATTTATGCTGTTAGTTTTGTGGACCCTAAGTAACAACAACCATGAGGTGGGCTTAGCAGAGGGTGCATTAACACTACTGTTAATGTAGACTGGGAAATAGATATCAAGATACTTGACAAGGTGAATTAACAGCAAGTGTTATATATATAGCTGATGTTATAAATATTTTCTCAATCCATTATTAAGTTAGTCTGAAATAAAAGTATACCAAAATCAAATCCTATATCAAATATTAAAATTATTGATGATAATTCCATTTTAAACATCAGATTAAACGGACATTATCAATTGTTTGTATAATTCACTAACATATGTAGTAAGCCTACATTTAAAGGGATGTTCTCAAACATATTATTTATTATCTACGTAGCAATTAACTTTACATTTTTAAAGAGACAGTTTGTGCGTATCGTAAGGTACCAACACAGTACAATTCAGTTTTTTACCTTTAATACTTACAAATAGTATATATAAATTTAAAGGGACAACCTCAATTGTATACATCTAACAAGTGTATTCATCCTAAACATTTTGCATCATAGTTTTACCACTCCTCCTCAAGTTTCTAAAAATGTAAAGATATTTATTTCTCAATCCAGTGTTGGGCTGTGATATAACTGTGATGTGAACCTACATAATATGAATCTCTATCAGATGCCTCAACATGCTAGCATTTGTTCTAAATGCCTACAAATAAGAATACTTGCTTTTCTAAAAGCAACATTGGTTTGCTAGTGCATAATTTTTACTACAAGTTTGTTTTATGGTAACATAATATATTAATCAACAATACACAACAATGCCTTCATGTTACTGAATACCAAACCCATGAATACCATAATCACACAACTTAAATATTAAAGCTATTTTTAGTAAGGTGATGTTTAGTATACAAATATTTTCAGTGTAAGATTGCTTTCCTTAATTGGTTGACAGCCAATTATGATCAAAACCATCAAGACTTAATTATATCCGGATTTGACTTGTTAACATCATACGGGATCAGATTAGTATCTATAATCCATTAGATTATTAGTATTTGGTCACATGGTTTGTATTCAGTGGCGTATCTAGGGGAGGGGGCGGGGTGCCCCAAAAAAATCATGGTCAAGTAGTTATAAATCACCTTAAACCATATTTTGCGAATTAGCGCCCCTCAACCGATCATCGAGCCCCCCCCCACTTCACCTTCGCGCCCCCACATCAGCCCCACCAATTCAAGACTTCTAGATACGCCACTGTTTGTATTACAGTGCAAAGGATACTAGAATCAGATGTATTAATAAGGTAGAGTTACACATCTAACTTAATGTGATGCGGCTTTACCTTAGCCCCATCACAACCCATTTACAAAAGTACCTCTGCTGCTCTGTTAAGAAACAGTGCCAAGCACTGCATCATCTGATTCACCACAAAGCAAGGCAAATAATGAGATGCCTGACAGAAAGTAGGCTAACAGAGGTTAAGTAGCAGGGTCAGGTTAGAGGAAGGATAAGCAACAGGGTCATGTGGAGAGTGAATAAAGTGATCAGGGTTAAGTGATGAGATATGTGCAGGGGTAAATCAGAAGTTAGGTAAGGCAGTGGGTGGGTGGTGGAAGGGAAATTTATTAACATCTCATCAATTGCATTGCTTCACAATGAACTTTTGATGTCTGCCAAAATACATTTTAAGATCACTAAAAAAAAAGTATCTATTGCAACATTGTATATTTATACCAAGTCTAAAACTTTTGCGTGAGTGTAATATATATCTTTGATTCAACAATGGAAGAAATAAATAAATTTGGCCTTAGGTGAAGAATAGACTGTTTATTAAACAGGTATGATCTGTTGCTTTTAATTAATGCACATTTCACCAAAAGAAAACCATATTCAAAACATATATGGTAACTTTTTGGACTCAAATTATTGTCAATATGATTATTACTATTATAGATTTCATAAAGGATTGCATTGACGAGTGTGTTAAGCAGGCAATTCATTGTCAGCTGTTTTTGTTTGCATTTGCCGACTTAGATGCCTGGTTCACGTCTAGTCATCTGGATACAAAAGAGCTGGATTTTGATTGGCCACTGGATTTGCTGGTCGTCGTTGAGATGCTTAATGAGGAGAAGCCGCTTTGGCATGACTGTAGACTTGTCATGGAACCTCTGAAAACAAATTGTCAAAATAATAATGCATATATTTTAAATAATTCATGTTTGTAAGAACAAAGAAAAAATAAGATTGATCACTCAAATTAATGTATTAGTTAAGTAAGTAATTTATTTAGTTTATGTTTTTGGAAAATTGTAAAACTGGTAGGCATAAATGATAACTCTTTTTATTTATTATAGACTATGCCTACTGCAAAAAATAGCACATACTAAGACACATAATATGGAGAAAGTCACGATAAAAATATTTATTTTTTCCTTAAAATTTACCCTTTTCATGTTTCCGATGCTCTTCAAATACAGAGTTTGCTTAGCAATGCCTAAAAATTTCAAAGAAGTATACAATACTGAACTCACCTAAAGTTTTCTGAATCTAGCACTTCATGGAAGTACATGATCTTGGACTTGTGTTGGTGATGGTGTCCCTTGGTAGAAGTGGACACTGCCACTGGTGAGTAGTACTTCCATTGTAAGATGTAGTTGCCAGGAAATTGACATACATGTGACCCCTACCAAAAAAATATTAAATGTTATCCTCATTATCAGTAGCTTGGCTATTACACAAACTTTTTTTCTGGTACACTAAAGTGCACAAATATTTTAACCACAAAGTGTTTTGAGCTTAGCACATGAAACACATCAAGGAATGGTTAGAACCAAACAAGTTCTGCGCGATAAATACTATTGGCCAAAAGTGGATGCTAATGTTGAAAGCATGATTCGTAACTGTTCTGTTTGCGAAATTAATCAAGCGCTGCCTAAAGATCAACCATTAAAGACCTCAGAATTACCTTGTAGACCTTGGAGTAAGTTAGGGATGGATTTGGTCGGGCCAATTCAAGGAGAGTATATTTTAACAATTACTGATTACTACTCCTGTCTCTTATACACATCTAGATGTGTATAAGAGACAGGTTATATACAGTGTTCGAATAAAGGACATGACAATTATACATTGTGTAGCATAGCTCTCAACGAATGTTTTCCTATAAAGAAATTGCATAATAAGAGGCCTCTACAGGATTTGAACCTGCGACCTCTCACTGTCAAGGCGAACGTCGTAACCATTTGACCACAGAGGCTTCATGGTTGAACAGATTCAAATAACCATCAGAAATACACTCTATTACACAATAGGTAGGCTGGAAACAAATGATGAAGATAATAATGATGATGATGATATGAAGGATGTTCCTTATCAGTACATCAACAATGTAAACACACCTATTGTACAATTTAATCTTTTCACTGTTTTTTAACATAATCTGTCACTTTTATTGTAAAATCTGCGAATGTCTTATTTTATTGTGAATGCACCATTTTAATGTGCCACTGACGGAAATTTTTGTTTCAAATAAAAATTATTAGTATTATTATTACCTGTATACTTTCACCTGCTTTGCAGACGAGGGCAGACTCAATTACGCCATAATCGATGCCACAGAACATCGACTTGTCAATGTAAATGGTGTTGCCGAGAGGACCGGTCGTTTCCTTTGGATGGTTAATTGGCTTTCGGACGACAAGGACCGAGAATATTACGTCACCACGTAAAACATCAAAGTCCCATGTTAATACTTCTTGTGCTCCTGAGATTTTGACAAGGACCTGCAAAAAACATAATGAATAAATGTTTCAAACAAAAATATGGTTTGAGAAACTTGTGTTTAGACACAAGAAGACATGTATGAATGATGTAGGATAAGGTTTCCATATCTATTACTGATTCCTATGTACTTAAAAGCCCTGTATAGAATATGAGAAATGCCGAATACAATGATTCTTATTTGCATTTTGACAATCAGCCCGAATAATGCAGCATTTTTGACTGGTATTATTTACGTGAATATTTACTGAAAGCATGAAAATCAAATTGTGCATGCTGACTATAATTGACCTTGTAAGCGTAATCAGGAAAAATGTTCACATTGATAATTAAATTATTTGAATCAATGAGATATTAATTCAACAAACCTCGGATGGTTGCCCTTTCATGAGCGTTGCTGACTTGTAAACAGTCTCTGAGCAGAGCAAGTGCTCATCTGGATTCAGGATGTCATCTAACGAGCGATAGCAGACTTTTGGGATTATGCCGCCATCAGGTATATCACACTGTTAATTCAATAAACAAGCAATGTTAAAAAGAATTATTCATTTTTTCCACTTAAATAGGATTTCCCTACATCTTGTTAAGCAACATTTCGGTTTGAAACTTGTTAGAGGGCAACAAAAGTGTGTTCTCATTTAGCAAAATGGTTTTAAAAGGTTTTCTCTTCAGGAGATAAGTCTCTTAGAGTTGAGTTGAGAGTACTGTATATAGTAACAACTAACAATTTTATATTAATTATCAACTTGTACTTTTCAAGGCTGACAGTGCAACTTCCGTCCATCTGGAAGTCCCTTTTTTTTTAAAAATCTCGTTTGCGAGTCTTCAGTTTGATGGTAAGATTCCGGTTGTTCCATACACGAGTACGCAATCTTCAAAGTGGCTGCTGCTTTACCTATGCGTGTATCAAGCTTTAGCATCTAATGAGTTTGTGTCAGTGATTGTTGATCTGAGATAAGTGAATTTTTTAACAACTAAGGATTTTCCATCAATAAGGATGTTAGGTGGTTCTACGTCTATGCCTTTTACCAACGTAAATCATCATTCCATAACCTGAACAGGCCTTTGAGAAGGACCTGCAAGATTCTTGTAGTTTAGACTTGGAGTGGGCAACAATAGCAGCATCATCCGCATACAGGAGCTCATAGACAAGAATTTGCTTGATCTTCGTTAAGCCCAGATAGTTTAAAGAGGCCCTGAGGAATAGACTTGACTGCCAGCAGATGTAGAATACCTCAAGAAGTTCTGTCACTAAAACATCACCTCCTACCTTAAACACCTGGTGGAATACCATCTGGTCCTGGAGACTTGTTGTTACACCTATAAATACTCAGGCC